GAAGCTTCAATTTTCATTGCTTTAATAGAAGATGATTTGAATGCTTTCAGAATTCTTCTCAAGACTCTGTTTTACAGACTTTGAAAGAGTTCAGTGAAATTCTCTTGATTATTTCATCAAACTTGAACTTTATAATCAGCTACTGATGTAATACAGGCTATATATAACTGTCTCATAGCCTGGAAGAATAGACCTCTCTCTGTATTTAATAGTCTGATTATGTTATTCAATAGTCTTTCTGCCTTGACAGTTCTTTATTAAATGTGATATTTAAAATTCAACTTGAAGTTTAATCATACTTCTAACTATTTGATATTTACACTGGGTTTAATCTCTCTATTTAAAAGAGTTAGAGATAGTTCTTTCTCATTGAATCTAGAAAAGAAATGAATTAACTCAGTTTTATTCATATTAAATTGAATTTAATTAATATCTGCTCTAACAAAGATTTTCTTTGCAGCTTCTTCAATTACTTTTAAATTCTCTTTGATAGTTTTTAAGCTGTAGACTAGATCAATATCATTCATATAACTCAGAGATCACACTATTCTCATATTTCTATTTTTGAATAGATATACAGTGTATATTGCAAATAAAATGAGTGAGATTGAAGATTTCTGTGATACTTCTATTTTTATCTCAGTCTTGTCTTATTTCATTTCATCAAAGAAGAGTTGTATAATTCTTTTAGATATAAAATAGTTAACTCATTTTATTAGAGAAAGTGACAGTTTTAATATCTTCAATATCTGAATTAACTTTGACTTTGAAACATGATTAAATGCTTCTTTTATATCAATAAAAACTGCAGTTGAGACCAGACTCTCATACTTTGCTATTTAAATATCATGAATAACTGAGAGAACAGTATCAATTGCAGAACACTGTTTTCTATCTCTTATTTATTCACTGAATAAAAGAGAATTATCTATAGAGCTTATAAAAGATAGTTGAGTAGCTATTATCTTTTCTAAAACCTTTTCTAGACAGTTCAATAGAGATATTACTCTATATGACTTAGAAATTGAAGTTTTTCTATTAGGTTTTGCAAGAATCACTTCAGTGACTTCTCTTCAGTATTTAGAATGATATTCATTTTTTAAGAGATTGAAAAAGAGCTCAAAATATTCATTCTTTAAGTAGAAATATGTATTTTGAATAATCAAGTGATTAATTGAATCAGGATCTGCAGCAGTTTTAACAGAACTTGAGAAGATAGCTGACTCTAATTCATCTTGTGTAAGATCAGGTCATTCTCAGTCATTTTCATTAATGTAGTTGAGAAGTGATATATTCTCTTTCTCTGAATCTGAATCTGAATCTGGTGAGTTCTGAAAGAGAATTCTTATGAAAGCTTGACATTTTTTCTCAAAAGAGTTTGCTGTATATGATTCATTCTGAAACTCATATTCTAAGGCTGGAAGTTTTGCTACACTTCTTGTTTTAGTATAGTTAAAAGCTTTAAAAACTTCCTTCTCTTGTGCTTCTTCAAGAAATTTATTCCAGCAGTCTGTTTTAGCTCTTTTAATATCTGAAAAATATTCATTTCTGACAGTTTTGAACTCTTAATCAGATATTACATCATTCTTTCAATCTCTTCTAGCAGTAGCTAATTCTTTTCTTTTAGATAAGATATTCTCATTTCACCAAGGTTTTGAATACTCAGAAGATTTTCTTTTTGAAATATTATCTCTAACACTTGTTAGAATAATAGATGTAATAAGCTTCACTCTATTCTCAAGCATTTCATTTGAGATATCTTGACCAGAATTTCAATATAGCTCATTCTGTCACAGACAGTAAGTATTTCTTATAGAAAAATAGCTTAATCTTATAAGAGATACTCAAGAATGTTCTTCACTGAGATTAATTTATTTATGAGTTTGAAGAGTTTCTCTGTCACAGATACAGAGAATAATATTTTATAAGTAATTAATAAGTTCTCTGAGACTTCTTTTATAGAGGTTATTCATGATTCAGATGACTGCTTCTGAGTATCTGCAGTAGAGTTCACAGGGATTGAAGTATACAAGTTTCTAGTTCTTTTAGTTATAACAGATAATTGCTGACTGACTGAGCTTGAAATGTAAGAATAAGTGCTTACAGATAATTATTCAGATATTTGTAGCTTAATATGATATATACTGTTAACTACTAGAAGTATTCACAGTAGAAAGATAAAATATAGAAGTTAAATGTATAATAGTATTCAAGCTGAGTTATGAATAGTATTCGCGAACTCCAGTCTATATAGTTGTGTGTAGCCAAGGGCTGCTAGCTCTATTGATTATGTGAGAGATAGAAATAGAGGTAAAGAATCCGCGAGAAGTGGGATTTCTTACATAATCTTATATATGAGTTAATACAGAGACTCTACAGTCTTAAGCAAGTAGTACTCTTATAATATAAGAAGCTGTGAAAGATACTATTATATTCAGACTTCTGCATCAGTCTTTATAATACTGAACTATTTATTTATAATGAAAGACAGATCTATATAATTATCTATATAAAAAATATCTGTCTCTACAGTCTGAAAATCAAAGATCTGAACTGAGTCAAAGCTGAAATTACTGCTAATTATAAGATCAAGAATGTAGAGAATTTCAATCACTATCTGAGAATAAAGATTAATAAATATTTAACTTTATTAATATTATCTTAATCTCTCTTTATAAGAAATCTTCTGAAGAAGTTCTTAATAAATAACTATCACTTTACATTCACTTCTATAAAGAAGAATATTGATTTTATAAATGATAATAAGAAACTGATTATATACACAGTAGAATTTACACTACAATTCTATTAATTCAGTATCAGATTTCTACAATATCTGATATTTAATACATATTCTGATATGAGCTTCACTGCAGGATTTCTTGAACAATTCAGCTCTCAGTCTATATCAAAGAATCAGATTATATACAAGTATACACTCTGATATCTACAGAGTTCAATCAATGAGAGTATAATCTATCACAGAGATGCTGAAATTAAATCTATAGCATACACAGATACTGATTGAGCTGGTAGAGATTCAGAATTTCATTTAATCACCAGTTATATCATCTACATGATAGATGGCCTCATTGCATGATGAAGCTGCTGATAAACAGAGGTCTTCAAGTCATCAACAGAGGCTGAATATATTGCATTCTCTGAGATTATATATGAGCTTGTCTGTCTCTGAGAGCTTCTAGAAGATGCTGAATTCATCTCATCTCATCTCAATAATCTGAATACTGATAATCATCTCATTCTCATCACAGTCAATGATCTGACTTATATGATTTATACTGATAATAAGTCTGTCATAGAGCTATTCTCTTCTGAAGCAATTTCATGCTGCTTGAAGCATATAGAGGTCTGTTTTCACATTCTTCAGAATCTCATCTGTAAGAATAAGATATCTATTCAATATGTTTCATCTGCTGAGAATGCGGCAGATGAGCTTACTAAATCACTTGAAATGTTGAAATATACATATTGAAAGGAGATTATGAAGATGAAGGGATAGAGGGATAAAAAATGATGTATATCATGACTGGTTTTTCATTACTTCACATTTTCCAGTCATTTTTTGTACCTGTACTTGATTTGAAGGCGAATTTTGTATATAGCATCGTGTATAGTTACTCTGGTGAGTGGGGGTGTCAGGTCATGTGGTCTGGCTTACTAATCCTTCCACCATATAACTTTTCACAAGCTAGCAACCTTTTCAATCACACAAGCTTTACACCTTCCACACATACATTGTGCATGTACATTACATGTACTAGGAATATGGTTTCTACGACTTGGTATGGGGAATGCCGGATATGTATTGATTAGTTCTGTTTATAATTAAGTATTGTGGGAGTATAACTGCTTGAGACTTCTTCTACATTGATCCTGCGATCTTGGAGAACATCGCAAAGATAATGTTATTGCTTCAACAACTCCATTACACAATAAATAGATGGAAACAGCATCAAATGTGCAAAGAAGTGAACATATTTGTCTACTGGTATGTATATGCCATTTATAAAGTAGTAGTCCTGATGTTAGTGGTGATATATGTCTAGCAGGATGCTCATATCAAAGACTGCAGAATGATAAAACAACCACTGCTTGTATTGTTGTTGATTTTTTAAACTATTTTTTATGACAATAACCTTGCAGACTTCAGGCATACTACGTATGACATCGGCCATATCATTGTTATATCAGTATAAACCCCACTATCAAAAACTTGCTTCTTGACGCACATTCATGGAGATATAATTAATGGAAAGCTCAGTTTTACTAGCCTTGAACTGGCAAGGAAATAAGGTTGGTCCCGTCACGCTAGACAGATCGCTTAACTTACAAGGCTATGAGTTCGAGCGCGCGACCTGGAGACAGTAATAAGTTACCTCTGTCCACGGCGTCATGGGGGACGTCTCCAAGATCTGATTGAAGAGTGCTTTTTCTGATCGCAAAACTTACCGAAAAAAAAAGCAAAGAAAAGAAAGAGAGAGAGAGAGAGAGAGAGAGAGAGAGAGAGAGATGACAAGGGGCTAGTCGGTAAGGTGGTATCGAGCTCCAAATTGTTTCTTCTTGAATATCAAAGAATCTATCACGGATTCGGCAAATCCATGCGAGTGGTCAGTCATATCAAAATGCCGCTACAATAATTCAGGAGAAAGGCACATCCACTCATAGATCTAGTAAGTTTCCTCTTATGCAAGCTCTCCGTTTCGTTAACCGGGATCTAAATGAACTTCGGGAGAAATGTCCTTTTTGCGGGGCCAGTGTTCAAGCCCATTTATTATTGTAATGTACAGCAAGAAACTAACCCCAATAAACTACAGCCAGATGGGACGGGACGCGGAGCTCAACACAAATACCTCGACTTGTGCTTGTGTTCCCACTCCATAACTGAAAATTTGCGGTGGTTCTGTTTCTCCTGAATACTTGATCGATCTTCTTCTTTAACACTATTTGCCTATCTTTCCAGTCGAGTTACGGTGGCCAAGATGGACGCCGACCGCCTAGTATGTGATAGAAATGACGCTCTTTTTATCGGCTGACATAGGGTTTTGCAAATGCATGCGCCGTAGCAACTGGTCTGTAGGATAGCAACGAAGCACTGCAATCAATCTGCAATCGAGACCAACGATTTCTCGAATGGCTCCTACAACCGATGCTTCAGAGTCAAATTAGAACATGGGCCCGATGTTATTGTTCGCATCCACATGCTGGGGAAGTCTTTTCTTCGTCGGGAAAAGGTCCATGGTGAGGTCGAGCTATGACATACGTTGCTGCCAACCAGCCATCGATTCCTGTTCCGAAAATTCTGGGAACGGGCGCCTCTAACATAGGACCCTACGTGGTTATGAAGTTTGTAGAGGACAAACTGTTAGTGGATTATCTCATGGCAAGCCCGCAGAAGAAAATAAACCAGCCATGTTGAGAAACGACCTGAAGATGTCCACTCTCAAAAAGACGTATCGTGAGATGGCTCGGATTGTTCTCGCCAGGTATAAT